TGGTTCACCCTCCGCTACTGATAGCAAGCATTTCACGCCAATTGAGGGTTGGGTTCTGGCAAATGGAAAAGCAGCCCATAAAGCATATTTAGTGTTTGCTATAGATGAATTATTTACTAGGTTATACCATCCTTCTGAGATGCAAGCCGTGCATATTTTTTTGATGGAAAACTGTAAGGGAGACCTCAACAGTTATGTAATGAGTTACAAAATAAGGTCTCGAAACTTTTCCGTGCCTTCAATTATTTTGATTTTGGTTAAATTGCAGATATGACATGGAGGCTATTTATTTTGATGAAGGTGTCAGAACATCAAAAAGACATCAACTTGAGTCTAAACTCTTGCAGGTTTCCCCTTATATTTTTTGGTCATACTCATATATCATCCATTGTATCAACTAATAATTACTTGTTCCTCACTTCCAACCATTTAATCAACAACCGGCATGCACACTTGTGGTATATATGCCATGAACCAATCAGTCATCTTCGTACACAGATGCATCCAACCAGTAATCCCTAGTTAACCCTGAGGGCAAACCTTTATGCTAATTTCATACTATTAGTGGAACAACATCATACCAGTATATCTTGAAACTAACTCAGCGAGAAAATCTTGATGCAAATATTTTAATAGAGGTGCCATATTTTGATAAGAGATTAGTAGAAGAGTGGAATATTTTGTAGTAAGGGTGTGTTTGGATCTATGGACCACACTAAGCCACATCAATTTTTTGGTCATGCCTGATATTTTGGCTCTTGCTTGGATGGTTGCCAATATTTTGGCATGCCCATGCTCCATAGCAAACTCTAGTTTATTTTTCTTGCCAACATTAGCCAAAACATGGGCAGCCAAAACCTTGGGAAAGATATTGGTTAGCTGGATTTTTGGTGGGTTAGGTTGGGGTCAAATCAAATACACCCTAAAACTAAAACCTAGTCCAATAGAAGTTTTCCTGCCATGTATATTATGTCCATAGATTTTTTTTCTTGATCCTGACTATAAATTTTATTCATTGTTCTTATCTCATGTTCCGTTCACTGTTTAGTTGTTTTGTCTTGGATTTATGCATTGTCGCCACAGTTAAGCGCTCTGTTGCATGACATAATTCTCACATGAATGCCCTTTCCTTGCCAGCTTGTCAATCCTGCGTACCAATCCCTTCTTGGTCATTTACGGACTAGAACTTTAGAAGCATTCAAAGAGTCCTTTGATAAGGCCGTTGAAAAGGAGGGATTTGCTGTTGCTGCTCGCGATTCTACCCAGATTTTCTTGGAGAAGTTTGATAAAGGATCTGAAGGTATGTCTCTAGCAATGTTGGTAATGTATTTGCCATATGCTTGTAGGAATCAGTGATCCGCTGCCGTAGGAAGTAGGAAACCAGTCAATTTCAGGTACTGCTGGTTTATTAGGCTGTACTTGGTGTCGAATTGGCTAGGTTATTGCAATTAAACAGGAATCTAGCGTGCATCTTTTGAGGTTCAAATGTAGAAAACTAAACAGCCCAAGAGTAATCAATATTCCAATTCAGTCATCCACGGAACCAACTATTCGACACTGGATGCTATGCTTAATTTTATAGCATTTAAATGTCTCAAATGGCAATTATGTGTCACATTCCTGTTGGGAAATGGTACCGGCCAGACGAAGCTGGGAGTAATTTGTAAATATGTACTCCCTTGGTTCCAAAATAAGTGTCGTGGTTTTAGAACCATGCCACTTATTTTGGAACGGAGGTAGTAGTAAAAACTTGTTAGAAACATCAAAGACTTGCTGTTATTTTTCTGCCTTTTATGTCAGCTTTGAGATACATACACTACTGATTGTCTGAGATACTGCTCTTGCTAGAAGTACTAAATTGGTGACAGCATTCAAATACCAACTACAACTTTAGTGTACCAAAAGCAGCGACAAGTAATATGGATCGGAGGGAGTAATATATTAGCTAGTATTGAACACATACTTTTAAGTATACTATGGTTACCCTTAAGGAATGTTATTTCTTATCTTATTGTCACATATCTGGATATTATTTGGCAGATGCTACCATTCAACAAGTGAATTGGGATCCCTCGAAAGTTAAGGATAAGCTTAAGCGTGACATTGAGGCTCATGTGGTGTCAGTTCGTGCTACAAAGCTTTCTGAACTTTGTGCCACATATGAGGTTGCTTGCAGTTTCCAATTCCGTTTGTTTCTCTAATCAAATGATTGGTGTAATTGCCAGTCTGTCACGAAAGGCACATGTATCTTTCTTTTTTTATAACTTCAGACCTATGGTTTCAGGGCAAACTTACCAAAGCTCTTGCAGAACCTGTTGAAGCTCTTCTAGATTCAGCCAGTGAAGACACCTGGCCAGCTATTAGAAAGCTTCTTCAGCGTGAGACAAAAGCCGCCGTTTCAGGTCTTGAATCTGCTATTTCAACTTTTGAGCTTGATGAAGCTACTGAGAAAGAATTGCTCTTGAGGCTGGAGAATCACGGAAGGAGCGTTGTTGAATCAAAGGCAAGAGAAGAAGCTGCAAGGATCTTGATCCGCATGAAGGACAGGTGAGTGCTGCTTCATATCTAACTCAGAGAAGGTGACATCTTCTGCACGGAACTAACTGTGGAAAAGTTTACAGGTTCTCGACGTTATTCAGTCGTGATGCCGACTCGATGCCAAGAGTATGGACAGGAAAGGAAGACATCAAAGCAATTACTAAAACTGCTCGTTCAGCTGTACGTAAATGTTAATACTGTCTATTTGAAATAGAAGAACTCGTTTGAGAACTGAAACTTGAGACTCCTCTGTTACAGTCCATGAAGTTGCTTTCTACGATGGCTGCAATTCGGTTGGAAGAAGATGGTGACAACATTGATACCACTCTTTCCCTTGCTCTAGTAGATGCTGCGAGGCCAGGGACTACAGATAGAAGTATTCAATCGCTTGATCCACTCGCCTCCAGTTCATGGGAAAGGGTGTGTGGGCAATGCATCATATATATATATATATATATTCATTTATGCTTGTGTGCTGAAGCAATACACTGTTCTTTTTTACGTAGACCAAGTTTTGGTACTTGCTAAATAGTTGTCGCTATTATGAACAGGTTCCAGAGGAGAGAACTTTAATCTCCCCTGTCCAGTGCAAGTCTCTGTGGAGGCAATTTAAAGCTGAAACTGAGTATACCGTCACTCAAGCCATAGCTGCTCAGGTATCCTCATAAACAACATTTCAATAACTATTCATTTTGTGATACCCGAAATTATTCGGTTGTTTTCATGTCAAAGCTCTCCTGTTTATACTCCAGTACTCCAAACCATGTATACTTCTGGAGTTCTTTTTAATTGAGGTTGGTCTACATGGTTTTAAGTGTTGTACACTGTCATTAACCATTTACTGTTCCCCACCAAAGGAAGCAAACAAGAGGAACAACAACTGGCTGCCTCCTCCATGGGCGCTCGCTGCGATGGCTGTCCTTGGTTTCAATGAGTTCATGACATTACTGAGGTATTATTTTCTTCTGTGTACAGAAACATGCATAAGTTTTGGTTAAGGCATCTACACAATTGATATGACCGGGAATTAATTTGTTAAAACAGGAACCCATTTTACCTGGCCGTCATGTTTGTAGTTTTCCTAGTCGGGAAAGCCATGTGGGTACAACTAGACATTGCCAATGAATTCCGAAATGGATTTGTAAGTATTGACCCTGCAGTTCTGTCATGGTACTATTTTTTGCGAGGAAATAACATCTGACCTAGTATTATTATTTATTGCTTGAATGTTACACAGCTTCCAGCTCTCCTTTCGCTGTCGACAAAATTTGTTCCGACAATTATGAACATTCTGAAGAGACTAGCTGATGAGGGGGCAGCGCCCGCAGCCCCAGAGAGGCAGAGAGAGACGGAGCTCCAACCAAGGAATAATAGTTCAAACAGCAACGTGACATCAGCAGGTTCCTCCAGCTTAACCTCTTCAGAGAATGGACCTGAATATTCAAGCCCGGTAGCACAATGATGAGTGGATCCCTAGCTTTTAGCTGAAAGCTCTACTAGCTGTAGCTGCAACGGTTTGAGCCTAGGAGATTGAAGTGCCTTGCGGTTTTTGTACGCTCGCTTGCCCTTCCCAACCTGATGTATGAAAATTATGTGGAAGAGTCCACAGCTGTTATATAAGGAATTTTGGGGCTGGGAATCGTTTGTAAGAAACATTGTAGAACAACTTCCGTTTCACTTTTATTTTTGTAATATCTTATATGATGGTTGTATAGAAGATTTGTGATTATTTTTGTTATATCCACCCAACCCATGAGGACAGGAAAAACAAAGTGGCCCATTTCTACACACTATGGTATATGGTTGTTTGCATAGATTGCAATTTGTGCGCATCCATTTGTAGATGTTTTTGAACTCTGGATATTCGCGTTTCTGTGATATTTTATGTTAATACCGATCAGTAGCTACAGCTTGAATGTACATTTTGCATGATTAATATATGTGCTTCACGTGATGATTTGTTCGACATTTCATCTAGAGCTTATATAAACTGCGCAACTGCTGCACAGAATGAAACAGAACAGTGCGACCATCTCAAAATTTGGTGCTCTTGGATTCTTAGACTGGTTTTTCTTAAACAGTGGAGCTTATAAGAATAAACAGTCTTTTATTAAGCAGCGGTGCTTATTAGAATAAACAGAAAATTGATGCTCTTGGATTCTTAGACTGGTTTTTCTTGAGCAGTGGTGATTATAAGAATAAATAGTCTGTTCTTAAGCAGCGGTGCTTATTAGAATAAACAGTTTTCTCTTAAGTAGCGGTGCGTGTTTCTATAGCAGATTCCCAGCTAAGCTTCTGTTCTACACAAAACACCGATGCATGAGACAAAACTTAGTTCGTTCTGGCAAATATTTGCCTAAGCACATCTCCAAAGGCTAATTTGACATCCTATCACGTCTGGACAGTGTCCGGGTGTGTCCGCTTTAAACCCTGCATATATGATTTGTGGGGCAGCCCATCCATAAGTGATGCGGAGCATTCTATGGTCATCCCCATGAACTTATCATCGTCTTATCAAGAGCCAAGAGGACCCATGACACGAGCACGAGTTAGAGCTCTCGAGAATGAGGTGACCTCCTTTTTTAGTGATATCTCATATGATCCCTTCGAGACATGTCTACTACTTAAAGTCGAGATGTTGTGCATGATCAGGTATCAAGAGGACCCTCCCGAAGATGCACGTGAAAACGAACAAGCCGCCAAGTCCACGAATGAAGAGGAACGCCGAGAGGAGAAGAAGGCAGCTCCAGGACCCGGACATCCGGCCCCAAGTCCGAACATCCGGCCGCTGGAGACTTCAACTACAACAGCCTTCCAGCCGCCGCGCATCTACAGGCCCCGGACATCCGGCCCGGCCCGGAAATCCGGCCTCAAGCCCGGATATCCAGACACCACCGATCCAGAGAGTAGCAAGGCCAGCGCCTCCAGCCCGGACATCCGGCTACCCCAGCCCGGACATCCGGCCCCTCGTGAGAGCCTGGACATCCGGCCCGACGCTCGGATGTCCGGCGCCGCCTGCGCACAGTAAAAGGCCGAAGCCCATGTACCCTTTAGCCCCTAGACTATATATACTCTCCTCCTACCTACGTTTTAGGGTTAGCAAAGGATTAGCTCATATTTGTATGAGAGCTTTGCTCATCCACTTGATTACCTTCTCCTCGGAGATTGCACCTCCTTCGGAGAAGATCCCCCAAACGGATTTAAGACCCCTTTACGGGAAGAACCTCAAGACCTCCTCACGGAGAAGACCGGCTACCTTTGTATCGTCCTTAGTTGTCCGTGGATCGTGATCTCTTGTGTACTCGAGGATCTAGCACATGTGTGACTATTTCTTGTTGGTTTAGTGATCCTCTCGTGTTTCCCCTCGTGTTTTCCCTCGTGTTCTTCGTGTTCTTCGCGGGATCCGCTTTGTTCGTGAAAGATCGACCGTATAGGGTTCCACCCTACATCATCTTGGTATCTAGAGCCACGTTGATCATGATTTCGGAGCCTTCCCGTTGTGTTTCTAGCCTTGTTTTTGTTGATTTTGTCCCTAATTCGAAAATTCCCCACAAAAATAGCCCCAATTTTTTTGTGATTTGTTGGTGTGATGAAGTTTTGTTGGATTTGATCCGCGGATTTCATGTGTTGCAGGTAGATCTAGCTTTCCATCCACTTTCCCCCAATTTCCATCCACAAATTTCTCCGAATTTTGCCCGGATTTGCACCTTCCACGCGGAGTTCGTCCGGATCCAGAGCCCGGACATCCGGCCCGATAGCACGGACATCCGGCACCCCGGACATCCGGCCATCCGACCCCTGGCAGCAACATCTCCATCCACCGCCCCGTTTTCCATCCATATTTCGCCAAATTTTGTTTCGGTTCCCACATACACTTCCGCATACCACCACCACTTCCGCATAGCACCGCCATATACAACATACACCACCATCGCATACCATTTCCAACTCCGACAATTTTGTCCCGTTTTGTCTTGAGAATTTGAGTTGCGGTTCCGTGTACTATTGTGTTTCGTCTATTTAGGTACGGTTTGACATCAACATCACCGCCACTCATCTTCGCCATGGACGCGTCATCGACAACAACCACTACACCATCTTGACACCATACCGTAAGCAAGAAGCGGTAACCTCATCTTGGTATAGTGATACTTCAATCTTGCCATTACATTGATAGCCATCATAGCCTTACTCTTTCGCGTCGCTTACCCATCGAGACTAGCCTTTGAGTATTGCCGGCAAAGTGACTTGTGCACATTAGTAATCATACTTCCCATAGCATACATACATCATTGGTGCATATCTTCGTATCATCTCTTGTGTCACAAGGTTGTCATCGCATACACAATTGCTATCTTGGTTCGTGAAGTATTGCATGAGAAAAGAGCTCAAACAACAAAGAGCCAAACAAGCTTTTAAGCAAAAGGGAAAGATAAGTAAAGAGTTTTTAAGCAAGAACCATAGCATCATACAACTTTAAGATTGTCATACTAGATCATCTTGGATCATAGCAACGAAACATCATACATAGAGCATACTTTGGATAGAAGTCGTGGCATTTTTGCTTAGTAGGTTGTGCACAAGTCTTTGTATCCGCCTATTGTGCAATCGTGCTAGCGTCTCTCTAGTGTTGTGCAACAAGAGCATTTTCGTGGATTCCACATTTTGGCTCATCCTTGGTTGCACGACCCCACTTATGTCTTTGCGTGTGTGTTTCCGTGTACCTTATATTGCTTGGTCTACTTGTTGCATTGCAAACTTGCGAATCTTTTCCAACATTATTGAAGTTCACTAACAATTGAATCAAATTTTGTGCCACCATCCTAACCAAGCTCCACCATAAGCTTTTCCTTGTGTAGGCGTGAGAAACTGACAAGAACTGGTACCAATTGTGCTATTTCCTTGTTCCACATTGGAGTGATCATTGATCCACCTTCAACTTCGGTCAAGGTACATTTGGTATACATTCTTCTCTTTCTACCACTCACATTTTTCTCTTGGAATGATGGATAGGCCAAGTACTTCTACCAACCCACTCTTCATTGAGCATGACGACGACATGAACTCCTACATCACCAAGAGCCACCTCTTTGATGCACAACATGCTTTGCATTAAGAGCAACAAGCAATGAGTGAATGCATCGACAACCTCGCCACCGACTTGCGACTCTCCGAGCAACATACAAGGGACTACTTCGACCACAAGCTCGACGATCACAAGCAAGAGAACGACGCAAGAATGGACGAGATTCGTGCTTTGTTGCTTAACCACCCTTCTTCCACTTTGTCCTCATCAAGACGGAGCCGCTCAAGTCGACACTCTGACTTCACCCTCTCCGTCTCAAGTACACCGACATCGAACACTCTTCGACGTGCCGCGCGCAATGACCGTCAAGCAAGCCTCATCCTCTACGCGACGCCGACTCTCAAGAGAACCGACAACGTCAAACCCAAGCGGCTTTTGCGCTAGCACGAGAACGGCAACGACAATGCCAACATGAAGAGGAAGAGCGAGCGTGTCTCCACCAAGATGCACAAGATGTCAAGGCACAACGCCAAGAACAACAACTCCGTGAAGCTCAAGCACTTGAGGCGCAACGTGCCCTCCGAGATTCAAGTCGAGCCGTAGACAACCGAGGCCGACAAGCTCGTGAACATGAAGAAGCACTTCGCAAAGAAGCTCACAAAAGAAGATTTCAAGCTCGCGTGCAACGTCAAGCTCGACAAGTTCCTCCGCAAGCTCGCCAAGGACATCAAGTTCACCAAGAGCATGAAGACAATGGGAATCCTCCACGACAAGAGCAACACGAGGTCGACAACCCTCCTCGCCAAGAGCAATACGAGCTTGCAAACCCTCAACAACATGGGCGTCATCATCCATGACCCCAACACAATGAAGAGCAACGCTATGGCAAGCTCAAGTTCACCATGCCCAAGTTTTCCGGAATCAATGATCCCTAAGAGTACCTTTCATGGGCATTGAAGGTCGACAAAATCTCCCGCTTGCACAACTATGAAGAAGAGAAGAAGATCACGATGGCATCCCTTGAGTTCCAAGACTAGGTCCTCATTTGGTGGGAACAAGTCATCAAGCACTGAGAGGCAAGAGGTGTACCACCCATCACTACTTGAGCGCAAATGAAGGATATCATGAGAGCACACTTCGTGCCTACTTACTACAACCGCGACCTCTTCAAGAAACTCCAACTACTCAAGCAAGGAACCAAGAGCATTGAAGAGTACTACAAGGAGATGGAGATTGCCATGATAAGAGCCAATGTCACGGAAGACGATGAGCAAACTATGTCACGTTTCTTGAATGGACTCAACCATCCTATCAAGTAGATCGCCGACTTCCAACCATACTTGAACCTCATCGAGCTAGTGCATCAAGCTACCAAAGCGGAACGTCAAGTGCAAGACGATTACAAGTATGCCAAGTTCTCATCCAAGACATATGGC